CAACACAAGTTTAGTCACTGTCAAGAAATCATTTCGACAAGTAAAGCACAAGGCATTCAAACTACACGTACCCGCGATGATCCCAAAACGTTGTTTCGAAAAACAACGAACAACATTTATACAACACAAAGTCGTTTCCATCCCAAACCAAAGGTATATTCCGTGATACAGACGGTTTCTCTTTCATAAATTGTTGTTGTGTATACAGCGACAGCTACCCGAAGAATGAACGGGGCGTGGCGAGAAATCGATAATATATAAAAAGCCGTGACTGGCCGCATTGCATGCCGGTATAGTCCTCACTCCTCCTCTGAATGAGAACCAAGTGCATGGGCATTATACTATGACTAACAATGTTAAGGCGACTGCATTTTGTGCCATGTTCAAGTAAACCAGGAATATTGCGTAGAATATAATGGAAGATTTTCATGGTAAACTGAATGTTCACATTTTATCATGTTCTAGGGCGAAACAAGTGTACATTTTATTGAAGTGAAAAATGGCGCACCACATTTAAATCCAGGTAACAATGCTAAGAATGGAAATGTATGGTTTGTAAAAGGGTTCTGTAGATAAAAATTTCGAGTGTGAATTTTATACATTTGTTAAATCATGGATAATAAAATAAATGGATAGGAAACTGGCTGACGTGACCTAATGTTTTCAATGGGCTGATGGCGTGACTGGATGTTGAAACCTAGTAGATGCAAACCAAATTCTCAAAAACGGCATGTTTAGCAATAATACAGCTAAACATTTTAGTCAAAGAGCAAATGAATATAACTACGCCATTCTACGATGAAATCTCTAAGTATTCCCAGTCAATTTTAGCAAATATTTCAAGCACTAAACAGTAAAAAACGCATCCCAAATTTCGTTAAAATTGGGGACGCCAATGTCGTAGCTACAAATGTAAAAAATACAAAACAAAGACGAAAAACATTTACCTTGAATACTTTGTCGTGGCTTAGGCATGTTTTTAAAACAATTAGACCAGTTTATGCTTCAATATTACTCTTTTAAAGCGGAAAATATAGGGAAACAACAAAAATGCTGAGAACTTTGGCAATACGCATGACGTCACAGATTGCAACTAGGATTAGACTGTGACGTCAGCAAGTTTCCTATCCAGTTATTTTACAATCCATGGTAAGACACAACTTTAACACTTCTACATTGTGTGTGCGTGTATAACATTTATAAGTTTAAACATAATACACAAAGAGAAACAAACTTTATATTAAACTATGTTTGAATCACTATTAAAATAGACTCACAGTTTCAATAATAATTAGCACCGAATAAGTGTAAAAGAAATGGGTACGAACAATTAACAAACAACCAATCAGAGCCAGATTTTCGCTGGGTTTATAGACTTTCCAAATAGACTTAAATAACGTTTTTAGCGAGTATGGAGCGCGCGGGCACGGATCGCAAAGTTAAGATATGTACAGTATGGTTCAAAAATGATAGTCTTAATTCAGCCGAAAACATATTTGACACTTCTGCCGCGTATAGTGAGGGCAAAACATCAGCTATACACTCAATGTGGATTAAAACAATTTCGCTTGGGTCTGACAAATGTCCGCTCAAGTGTGCAGTTGCTCGAACATTGGCTAATAATGGTCGGCCAGCTTTTCAATATTTACATTGGTTCGTCCTGCTGATCACTTGCCATGTACTGTACATGACCAATCATACTTAATTCAGGCAGAGACGTTACTCTTTACCAAATCCACAACTTGTTCAAAACTATATTCGTGAACTACTACTTTCCGATGCACTGGGGGAAAATAGTGAAATTCATACTATGGAATTTGCGATTACATCCCTAAATCCATAGTATATCCATGCTATTTCCATACTATATCCATAGTATATGGAAATTGCAATTCGTATGAAAATTGGAAATCCATAATATTTTCAACTAAGTTCCATGCTATTTCCATAGTGAAGATTTTGAAAAAAATTTCCAGTGATATATTCCAAAGATCTTACCTTGCAAGTTGTGCTCCTGTGATTGGACATTTACTTCTTCGTCATCGCCATGTTGCCTAGCAACCGGTGAAGATGACAATCCATCATCCTTTTTAGTATCCATTTCTATCCCAATATCATCTGGACGTACATTATTATCCTTCGAGTTCTCTTCTTGCTCTTCTTTGCCATCCACAAGGTCATGCTGTGACCAGGAGTAGTCGTCTTTTGTTACTTGCCACAATGCATCAAGTATCTAGAAAACGAATAAAACATATTTTTGAAGTGCCTTCGGACGGCCCAGTGATGAATACATGTGTCTTTCATCTATGTAGGTGCAGGGTTCCCATTCATGCAACATGCATGTGTCTGCTTATAACTTCAAGTCAGTCGTATCACTCGCATGTGAGAAGAATCCTTCCAGTTGGACTCTATCACATGCGACATTCTTTCCACACGTACTCGATTATTTCTTGTAGTGACACTGAATCAAAAAGAATTGCCCCATATAGACCCATTGCACATGACGTCGCAGCGCCGGTGACGATGCATCTGGAGGACAAATTAGCAATCTATGCATAATATAACTTTTGTAAACAAAGCAAATTTTGTAAAAGTTTATAATAATTTTGATTTAATTTTAAAAAAATTAAAATGGTTAAATTTTGCGCTGTATGTGGTTGTTGCACCGCAACAGATATTGTTAGGGAGCATCTGGAGGACACTCTAAGGATTTGTGACGTCAGTGCAATGGGTCTATTGGACTTCTGTTAGAAATCAAAACAATGTAGATAGAGCTATCCTGTTTCAAAACATTTTAGTTTAGTTTATAGGTCTTCTTCTGGACAAATAAGAGATGGCCCTCACTATAGACATCTAGGGAGAACAGTTAAACACTTTAGATAAGATACAGTAGATCTATCCAAGGTCTTCTTCTGGACAAACAAGATATGACCCTTATACTCCGCCTTTAGAGAGAACAGTTTATAGAACTAATACAGTAATCCGGTATAAATGAAGTTAGTTTAAATACCTGTTGAGTTGTATCACGTATTGCAGACATTTTACTCAGGACATCTAACTCATCTTCCTGTGAAAGAAAGCAATGAATATTGACAATTTAATTCGTAGGTTTTTGTATGTCTTATACAGAGCGGTCGATAGTAGTCAAATGCACATTGAACCACCAGTGGTTAACCACCGTTAACCACCAGTGGTTAACCACCTGTTTGGCTGTTTGACAGTGTGTTTCAAATTGAAACTGAATTTGACAGTTGACACTGAAATTGAATTTGAATCTGAAACTGAATTTGTAATTAAATTTCCAAATTGAATTTGAACTTGAGATTTAGTTTGAAATTGAAGCTGACTTTGTTTGATTTTCAATTTTACTTTGAATTTGTATTAATTTTACTCACCTTATTCAGGGTAATATCAGGTATAGCGGTCAGTAATTCAGATTTGTGTGCCAAACCATGTTGTTGCAGCCAAATCACGATATTCATTTTAAACTCGCTAATCATTTCATACGTTCTAACAGTCTCTACAACAACGCGATGATCTCGTAATGCTGATCGAACCAATCTGGACCGTACACGACCACTACTGGCAACTGACGAGGGTGAGCGAGGATGAAATGCGAACTTGGAAGGATCTACCTCATTCTGTAAAAGAAAAAAAGAAAAACAAAGGGATTATTAACGGAGTAATCACTTTCTTTGTACACGTACAATCAGGGGATAGATTTACTGGGGGTGCACCCCCTAGCCCTGGCCAGAGGGGTTGCGGGAGGGGGGGTGCTATTTTTCAGGATAAAGCAAAACATTGTTAGAGACAAAATGAGATACAGTAATTTGAGTAATAGCATAGTTGCTATTAGTTATTACAAACTAATAGCATGGCTTTTCGGGCGATTAGTGATTAAATGACCCATTACCCTCGGCAGGTTTGCGGAATCCCCTCGGGAATTCCACAAATCTGCCTCGGGACGAGGCCATTTAATCACTAATCTCCCTCAAGCCATGCTATTACTTATAATAATAACATGATGATAAGCGAACTGTGAACAACAATTACAATTCAAATACAGTTGTCAAACAAGACTTTGCAGTAGTGAAAAGCACCTCCCCCCCCCCCCCTCCACCAGATCATGCTGGATCCATCCCTGCGTACAATTGAAATCAATATTAACATACTGTAATAAGCTCATTACCTGAAGGTTGCCCGATTCGTCAGGGTGTAATACATTACTGCTCCCTCCAAAGCCACTGTCTGAAGCATTCAAACCTCCAAACAGTAACATTTCCTGTTCGTCTGCTATATCACTATATTGCGGGCTCCTCGTGCTGGGCTTACGAGAGACCTGGGTACTACTAGGACATTGGATGCCCACTGAGGTCTAAAAATAGAAACAATAACATAAGTACATGAATGCGATAAGTACTGAAATGATCGTTCGTCAAGATAAGAAATTAATACGTCAAGCACTTTTCTACCACTGGTATACCATAGTAAAAACTCAATCTTCAATTGAGTTTTGAAACTGTGAATAATTAATTGTAAAAGGAAGAAAGTACTTACGGGGTGGTGGTAGTGGGGTTTCAGACCTTTTGGTGGAAGTAGGGTAGCGGTTCTCCACATGTTCAGTGTAACTGCACATTTGTATTTTAAGAACTGCAGAAATGGATTTGGAACTGCACATTTTGTGTAAAACTGCACGTTAAAAAGACACAGACCAATGATCTTTTCCCAAGACCAAAACCAGGTTCCTCCGGACAGATAGCGTGCAATCTCTATAGTATGAATCGAGACGTCAAGTCATTTTAACAACCAACCTGTAACGTGTCTTGTGCGTCCATAATGTTCTGCATACGATAGAGTGATGCACTTGTCGCTGTTCCCTTGCTTTCAGTTTGAACGACACCAAGACTTTCGCCATCTTCCCCCATCTTATGAAACAGAAATAGCAAGTAAATCTTTTTTTCGAAGATGGAAACGAACCATTATTGATCTTGCATAGTTCAAAATCCATAGAAAATTTAAAGACCATGTAAAGTCCGTAATGTAAACAAACGTTTTGTTTACATTTTGTGCTACAGTTGTAAATATGATTAGATATATATTATACTGAATTTTTTACACTCTTCTGGTTCGCTATACTTGTAAATGAATACATACTAGAGATTCAATTCAAAAAACGTCGGAAGGTGCGAAATATTAATAACATTCCAATGGTCGGGTCCCGACCATTGGAATGTAGGCCTGCGCAGAACGTATGGGCAGAACGGACTTTACATGGTCTTTAACTAAAACTTATTTAATGAAAATAAACTTCATGCGTTTCCCCCAAGAGCTGTGATAGCTCATCTAGGGGGCTCAAGATAATTACATTTTAACAAAGGTTTTTATTTTTAAAGCATTTCACCATTCAGTGAAAAAAGAAAAAAACATTAATCTAGGGACGTTAAAAAAACATTAATCTAATTAATCTAGGGACGCTTGTTCAAAGCTAAATTAGCGTTACCCTCGATAAAATTTAACCAGCTATATTAGTTTATGTATTTTTGCACGTCTGTTTATTTCGAAACTTCAGAGAAGAAAAATCCTGCTGACCCAGACAAGATTTCAGTGTCCCACAAAGGAGTCGTTGGCTCTCGTACGCTTATTCATGAACTAGGGACAAGGTTTGGAGTGTTCAGCTACTTAGATTTAGAAAATCCACCAAAAATAGTTCCATATACTTACATGCAAACTGCTATCCTTTTCAGCATTCAATTCCTCCTTAAAAAGAAATGAATGTATAAGAACGTATAGCATGCATACAGTATCTTCGAATAACTTCCTGGTACTTCCAAACAAATATAAAAGATCATAAAATATAAATATCAAAATCAAACTTCATGTTTCGTACCAATTGTAAAATCGCTTTCTCGGCTTCCTGTTCAGCTGCCACCTAAAGATGAATTCAGATGAAAGTAAATTTCAAGAACTTGTAACAACACTGTCAAAATAATAAAATGTTATGGCTTGTATATAAGCGAGTAAACAGACGGAAACAAGCAATTTGAACCTTTTGCTCCTGAGCAATTGACAACTGTTCCATCAATTCGTCCTTTTCCTATTTCGGATGAAATTGAAATATAATATGTTTAATACAGTATATGTTAGCACGGCGAAGCCCCGTACAGAGCAGCATGTTTTCGTTGACACATTTTATTTTCTCGTGTGTACGGCAAAATATTGAAAAAATCTTCTGGCCAAGGAGCCTTGTTCCAGAGTAGTCATGCCAGTTTTTGGACAAGGAAAATGTGTTCGTTGTTCCTATGTTGCCAGGGAAAATTTGAAAAGTGTACAAGAAATACTTGTATGGTTTTGGCAAACAAAAGGCGACCTTGAATGCCGTGTACACGAGCATCAAAACTTGTGAAGAGAAAATTGTCAAGGAAAACTTGTTGACCGTACACACGAGAAGGTAAACTTGTCAAGACAAACGTGTTCGTCTGTACTGTACTGTACATGGCTTAACTAAGGTCAGACATTAAATACACTACATTTCTATTCGTTAAAATCTTTTTGCTGATCGTCCGGGAGCTTCATCATAGGATTCCGACGTTGTGCTTATCAGTGAGCTCCATATACTGTATATCTGACTTCGATTTATTGAGCTCAATAGTGCTGATGCAATTATACTAATGCTAGGGCCACCTTTTGTGTTAGATAAGCATCTTGAAACCCAAAATATGATGTCTGATGTTTGAGTCTGATGATGATTTTGTAATAAAATCGAAATATTACTCACTCACTTTCTTGTTCGACTCATATTTTGGGTTTCAAGATGCTTATATCTTCGGATTATGTTTTGTACTATATTTTTTGAAATTGTCGGCTGGTATTGGGTTTTTTTATATGTGTTAGTCCTGGATAATTCGACCATTTGACCTGAAGGTGAGCTGATGCAATTTCAGGATACTATAATACTAATTATATACCTTTTCCTGTTTTTCCTGGGATAACATCAGTTCGTTGAGAGCTTGGGCTTTCGTATTGAACTAAAAAGTAATTTAATTATAGTATTTAAAGTCAAGGCAATTCCTCTGTTATGAGTCAAGTCTGACTGTTTCGATCCTAATAACGCCGAAACTATGACATTAAGCCCCGTTTACACGAGCAAATTTTATTTGACAAATTTCATATGTCAAAGATATTTTGCTCGTGTAGATGATACATTTGTGACAAATTTAATATGACAAATGCATTTGAACAAAAGCTAGCATGCTAGCTTTTGATCAAATGCATTTGTCATATTAAATTTGTCAAATAAAATTTGCTGGTGTAAACGGGGCTTTAACGTTTGCTATCACGGCAACTACACCACAGAAGCCCCAAATTTGATATATATCTTATTTTCTCACCCGTAACTTCCATTGCAAAACCTCTTCTTGCAACTGTTGTTCAATTTCGGCAAACTTAAAAGAAGGTAAAGGATAGTCACGAATAAAAAAATCATTATTTTCTGAAGTAGATCATGTTCTATTCTGATTTATAATATACTCCTTACTTTGCTCTTATATTCATCCAATTTCTGTGGCAGTTCATTCGTTGGCGTTTTAGCCTAAAATTAAAGAATCCATAGTTAATACTTAACAAACCTACAGGCTACAATCTATTCAATGCAACTCATTATTCATTTCAAGAAAATATAAAAAGGAGTTGAAAATGTGAATTTTCGACTATATTTCAAAGTCATCCAGGGCCTTTATAAACTATATAACTGGGGGCCAAAGCCCCCTCAACTATAATAAGCGAAACATTTGAAGAAAAATGGAGTTTAAAAGGGAGGTTTGATATTCTAGAAACTGAAATGTCATGACTCTATCTTCAAATAATTCAATGCCTCGATCTTTAAAAAAATGCTAAACATTGTGTTGAAAATTCACAGTTTCAAACATTTGGTTAACAGTGTTAATTCAAATCTTGAATTTGAAGATGCATTATTATTCGGAATTTGTATCATTCATGTTAAAGTGTATATAATATGAGTCTGTTGTCTTAAACGACAGACCTGCTTTAGTCCCTAATATCCAGCAAACGTCATATTCCGCTATCATAGACTGTATAATAACCCACCATTTCGCGTTCAATCTCCAGAAGATCAGTTTTTGACTTCACTTCAGATATTTCATCGACATCCACCAGATTGTCAATGACGTCATCAGTCTGGGTGGAGCTCTCTGCCGTACGTACTGGACTTGCCTCTCTGGACATAACTGAAACACCTTATAAATGGAGGGAAAATGTAATGTAATCAATCAATCAATCAATCATTATACACACCTACATAAACATGTACATGGCACATAGATGTTGCACCTCTCAATACCTATCATGTATTTCAGTAACTAGAAATTACTACCGTAAGGCACGTGTTACCGTACTGTACGGCCAACGTGAAAGTTGTCATCTACACTGACGGAACTGAAACAGACCACTAACCAAAATCAAGATCGTATGGGGTTCTTATTAACATTGCTTGTTCTTAGGGTGCAGCACAATCTTGTTCAAGCTTGTCGATATCAACCAGAAACAGGTTGTTCCTTTTTACGAAAGCTTTGCATTAATAGGGATGCAACTAGCTGAAAAACACAAGGACGAAGGGCCTTCGCTCGAAACGTCGAAGTTCTCCTTGTATTTTTCAGGTAGTTGAATCCCTATCAATCTGAAACTTTCTTATTATTAGCTCTGCCTATTCCTGTACACTGGCACATGATATTGATTAACGGAATCAAGTAATAAGTATTGAGTTGAAATAAGTGTTGACCTAGTGAAACTACTGCACTCACTTGGTCCCAGTGTGTCTGCTGTTTTGGGTGTTCTAGGTAATGGTGTGTTACTCATCGAGACAAATATACTACTAGATCTGTCGAGAGCGGAGTCTTTTCCTTTAGCATCGGAGGACGCCGTGCCAAGACGTGAACTGTCGGAAGTCTACGAGAAGAATTGGCATATTATTATAACTCAAGAAATAGCGGTTAGCACGATATTTTCATACATACATACTGTAGAAATAGGGAATATGCAACGTGGTACTATACTACTATCACTCCCGCCCGACCGGTTCTTTCAAGAGTCCCAGTAAGGCCAGTCATTTATTCTATGTTAGCACAACTAAAACTTCGAGCAATCTCACAAGGGAGGCCACTTTGCGGTTTAGAAGCTCGCTTGATTTCTGATGATGACGGATTTCTCGGAAATCGATCGAAGTTCGTGGTCTGCATCTGCGAGGTTTCTTAGAGTTGCTTTAGGCCACGTTTACACTGCACCGCGGATACGCTTCCGTAGCGACGTGAAAAAAACACCTATCCGTACCATTTAGGTACGCGATTTTTAGAGGAATTATTGCAACGGAGAGATGTTGTTTCGTTCAGCTTCTGAATATTGGACATTCCGTATCGGATAGGTCATAGGTGCTTTTTCGCACCGCTATCTACGGAGAGCTAGCCGGTACAGTGTAAACGTACAGGTAGCCTTAACGACTGTGCCAGCAAGCGAAATACATAGAGAATAATACATGGCTGCGCGGAAATACCAGATTTATTTCGAGTGTTGAACATGATATCTCACGAGTGAGCGCAGCGAACGAGTGAGATATCAGTGTTCAACACGAGAAATAAATCTGGTATTTCCAAGCACCCATGTATTTTTCTGTTTATTATATAAACAAAATTCAGTGAAAAGAATAAAACGTCCGTGGCAATGCGTTTTACAACAAATGATATTTTCACACGTAAAAATATCGTATTTTTTACGTGTGTTTAAATACGATTTTTCAGTGGCCAAAAACTCTATATAACACTAATGTTTATATAATAATATTATTTAATAAGTGTTTTAACAAATCAAAACTTATATTACTTCGGCCGGTTGTTTAAAGGTGGGTTAGCACTAACCCTCGGTTAAAATTTAAACCACTGTGTTGGTTTGTGTATCTCTGCACGTCTGTTTATTTCAAAACTTTAGAGGAGTGAACTCCTATCGATTCAGAGAAGATCTCTGAAGAGATATTTCCAAATTTATAGCCAAGCTGGGAGTTTGCTTTGAATTTTAGGTTAACCTAGGGTTAAGTTAACCCAGCTTTGAACAACCAGCCCCTGTATACTATCGCCACGAGGCAATGTTTACCATTACTAATAATTGCACTATTCACCTTTACTTCCACTATAGTTGTAGCAGTTTTAGCAGATTTCCACGTGCTAAACGCTCGCGAAGCATATTCTGATTCTGTCGTCGAGAATCTGGCAGAGTCACGACTGTCCGGTAATAGAGTGGGGGCACTTGACGTGGCTGTTGCCAAAGAACGCCTTCTCATCTAAAGCAGATGGAAATATATACACATAGTTCATATAATGACATGGGAAGACCAGCAAACTTCGAATATGTCATTTAAGAAACAAACATGGAGGTTGAACGGGGTTAATCCTGCACAGTCTATTTTAAAACTAGTTAGAAATGGCTAAACGATGGAACAGAAATATTTCTCTATTGAAACATGGTTAAGAAAGATCACAGTTCGTTGTAGAGCTTAAAAATTCTGAACCAGCAGTCAAAACAAACACGTCATGCCTATGCCTTACTCATCAACCGGTTAAAGCCGGTTGTACAGACGAACAAGTTTTCTTTGACAAAAGTTTTTTTGTGAGAAGTTTTATTTGCTCGTCTGTACGCGCAACTTTGACAATTTTTTCTATGCACTTGCATTCTTTCTATGCATTTTTTCTGTGCACTTGTCATAGAAATAATTGTCAAAGTACAAATTTTGTTCGTCTGCATGGGTCAACAAAGAAAACTTGTCAAAGTAATCTGAGCATTTGATGTGATTGGCCAGCGGACTATTATAATTTTT